GGGGAGACAGGATAGCAGCCTTCCAATATTTGAGGGGTTGCCCCAGAGAGGAAGGGGTCAAGCTATTCTCCAAAGCACCTGAAGGCCAGACAAGGAACACTGGATGGAAACCGATCAAGGAGAGATTCAACCTGGAAATAAGGAGGAACTTTCTGACAGTTAGAACAACCAACCCATGGAACAGAAGTTGCCTTCGGAAGTTGTGGGGCTTCATCACTTGAGACTTTCCAGAAGAGACTGGACTGCCACCTGTCAGAAATGGTGTAGGGTCTCCTGCTTTAAGGGGGTGTTGGACTAGATGACCTCTAAGGTACCTTCCAACTCTGTTAATCTGGGTGGCAAAGAAAGAACACGGGTGTCTCTTTTATGCCCAGGCTGCAGGGAGGACTCTGAGCTGAGCTGTGCCCCCCCGTTTGCAGGGCACAAAGGAGGGGGGCCTGATGCCCGCCACGGAAGCCGATTCTCCTGCCCCTCCAGAAGGGCTGCTGGCATCTATCAAGTCGGGGATGACTCCGCTGCCTCTGCCCGCCACGTTTCCTCTGTGCAGCCGTCACGAGAGAGCCGCCGGTGCTGCAATCTCTTGCCCAGGCAGGAAGGGCTGACGGATGCCCTCCCCCCCCCCTCCAGCCGGACTCCTGGCAAAGGGAAGGATGCGGCAGGGGCTCCGGAGGGCGATGAAGCAACCGGGGGTGTGTGGGGAGTGGAGGAGCCTCTGCCCCTGTGTCAGGCTTGGAAGTGAGCAAGCAAGTCAGCTGAGGGTGAAGCGCGTCTTCGGAGGTGCGTGGGAGGGGCGCGGTGATTTGCACTTTTATTTGGGGAACTGGCACTTCAGCCATAACGCCCCCTTTCCTTCCCCCCCCCCCTCCAAGGCTGGCGATTCTGAGACGGGCATGGCAGCCAACGGAGATACGTCGGAGGGGGGTTGCTTTGGGGGAATGTTTGGAGGCGACGTGTGAAAGGCAGCTGGGGGGTTGAGGGGTCTAGGACCCCCCTCTCCAGGGATGCCTTGTGAAAAGAGCGCGGAGAATAAGACGGGGGGGGGCGCGCTCTGCCAGGGACGGGAGTGAGCCCGGCCGGGAAGCGCTTGGGGGAAGATGCTGCCGCGGGTCTCAGCTGCCTGGTGGGCAGGATCCGGGCGTCGTGGGAAGACAGACGAGTTCCACGAGAGCCCGGCCAGGCTCGGGGGAGGGGGGCTGGGGGCCAGCGCCCCCCTCCCCCGCGGAGCAGAAGCCTCCGCGCTCGCTCTGCAGCGTACCTGCCGTCCCGCCCCGCCCCGTCCCCTCCCCGCCCTTTCGGCTCCACCTGGCCGGTCCCGGGGAAGGCGGGGAGGAGGGGGAAGGGGCTGGACGGGCCGGGCCGGCCTCTCCGGGCGCTATAAAGGCTCCCACCGGGCGGCGGCGGCCCAGAAAGGAACGCCATGGGTTGGCTCCAGCTGCCAAACTGTCTGCGCTTCGGCCGAAAGGTGAGCGGGCGAGGAAGAGGAGAGGAAGGGGGCGCGGGACTGTCTGCTCCCAGCTGCCCGCCCCGACTGGAGTTCCCTCCCGGCAGAGACGGAGCCAGAGACGGAGACCTGCCGGGCTCCACCGGGGCGGGGGAACCGGGCAGGTGGCAAGCCGAGCGAGCGAGCTAGCATCCTTGGCGAAGGGAAGAGCCCCGCGCAAGAGCAGCCCAGGCGGGCGCGCGGCAGGAGGAACCCCGGCGCAGCGCTTGGCGATCCTGAGCATCCGAGGGAAGCAGCCGGAGCTCAGGGAGGCGCCGGGCGCTGCGCCCCCAGCATCTTCCCCGGATTTGGGCGTTCAGGTCCCTCCGCCGGGAAGACCCCTCCCCTCTCCCGCCCCCCTCTCCCCCCCCCGGCCTGGGAAGTCACCAATCTGGCGTCCCTTGTTGGGTGCAGCTTCTGGAGGCAGGGTCGAATGAGGGGGCCCAGCACGCCTTGGGGAGGGGGGGCAGCCTAGGCTCAGGTTCTGATAGCCATGAAAACCTCCAGGGGTCCCGTCAACCCTCGAGGGAAAAGGTGGCAGCTCCTAGCGGGCACCTGCCAGCCCTCCTCCCCTGGCAGCAGCATCTGTGAGCAAAGCAGGGGGCATTTTTTTCCAGGCTCCGGAGTGGAGCGAAGGGCTGACTTTTCTCTCTTCTCCTTCCCAAGGAATTCACTTTGTCCACGGAGAAGATCGTTGACTCGCAAGATGAGAACACGGAACGGGGCAACTGGTCCAGCAAAACGGACTACCTGCTGTCCATGGTGGGCTACGCGGTGGGCCTGGGCAACGTCTGGAGGTTCCCGTACCTGACCTATGAGAATGGAGGAGGTAAGGGGCTGCTCCCCCCTGTCCCCCTGTCCCTAAAACGCCCACAGAGGCTTGCGGAGGCTTCCCCATCCAAATGGCCAAAGCTTCCCAGAGCCTCCCAGGGTGTCCTTCAGCAGCTGCTCACCTGGCTGGCTGTGAGGACTTCTTCTTTTCCCCCAGGTGAGCGGACGCAGCCCACCTGACTCTGATCTGTCCCTTCCACCAGGGATCTCCAAGCTTGGCAACTTTCAAGACTGGTGGACTTCAACTCCCAGAATTCCCCAGTCTTGAAAGTTGCC